TCCCACACGGAGTGTGCCTGGTCTCCTGTGATATCAGAAACCAAGCAGGGCTGGGCTTGGTTAGAACTCAGCAAATAGATCGGGCCATCTTACCTTAGACCCCAGAAATGTACAATTATTACATGCTAATTTAAACTAAAATAAAAAGTGTTTCGGTGACCCTACCCACTGCCTACAAGTGCAGTTAAAACCCTTTGAGGCTTTCGCAGATTTGGTCCAGGCCAATGTGCTGGCGTATCATCCATCACCCTGGAAACTACCCACAGTCAGCTCTGTCATCAACACCCCCTGGATATCTCCCCTCTTCTCCAGCCTCTGGGAAAGAGGTTGAAATCAAGCTACTTCTCTTCTGTGTCACCCACCTCCTTCAGGGTTTTTCAGCAATCCAGGCCAACCCACCTCCTCAAGAACCGCCCCCTCCCGCACAGCTCCCACAGCATCCAGCTCAACCCGAATTCTGCTGCTAATGTCTCGTGGTGCTAGGCTGCTGTTTGATGTGGTGCTTTAGCTCTGGTCTTATATTACCAAGCATGCGACAGTGACCCCAGAAATGTTTACACACATGCACAGAGTTGACAGGACAGTTAGAAGGAACTGGTTCTGCTTCCACCATGTGAGTTCTCTGGGGATTGAACTCAGGTAGTCAGGTTTGGCAGCAACCACCTTTACCTACTGAGCCATCCTGCTGGCCCATCCCGACATGCAGGAAGTCCCTCCCTTGTGGATTAATAGCTGCGTCCGACATCCCTTCATTTTCCTAATTCTTCCTACTTTTTCAGTAGAGTAGATCTACACATATTTAAGACAGGCATTCCCAGCCTGTTTATATAATTTTTTATAATTCTCAAAACTTCTGCTTATAGACATCAATGTTCTGAAAGCATTCCTGGTGCACAGGGTTTGGGATCCACCTTGGCTGACTGTAGTGGAGTGTTTGGGGATGATCTCAGAGCTGACTGGAACCTCAAGTGGAACTCTTACCTGACTTTTGCTTTGTAAGTGTTTAATCTGTAATTTATGAGTTAGATGCTTTTTACAAAACAGGGTGTCATGTCTCTGGGAGCCGTTCTGTTTAGTCATGGCTGGGTAGGCTGGGAATCAGCCAAGTGCAGACTCTGAGAGCAGAGACTGCCTGTGGTTTGGCTTGCTACCAGGGCAGGGTCCTCTTCAACTTGTAGGATGGAGTTGGCAGAAGAGAAAGAAAAGAAATGTATTTGAAAGGCTGCAGGCAGACCTAGGACATAGCAGACAAAAAGATATGTGAAGGAATGTTCTTTCAAGCAGAGAAACAACAGACC